ATGTTCTTTGTAGCACTGTTCACAATGGCAAAGACATGGAATCAATCAACCTGGGTGCCCATCAGCAGTGGATTGGATAAAGAAAATATGGTACACCATGGACTACTATGCAACCACAAAAAAAAAAAAAAAGGAACAAAATCATGTTCTTTGCTGCAACATGGATGCAGCTGGAGGCCATTTTCCTAAGTGAAATAATACAGGAACAACAAAAAAAACCCTCATGTTCTCACTTATAAGTGGGATCTTAACATTGGGTACTCATGGACACAAAGATTGCAACAGCAGACAATGGGAACTGCTAGAGGAGGGAGGGAGGGAAAGGATAAAGGGTTGAAAAACTAACTATTGGATAGCCTGCTTACTACCTGGGTGACAGGATTAATCCTACCCCAACCAAAGTTCTTTACAACCCTAATATCATATATTTATTCCTTTAAACTGACTCTCCCTTCCAACTTCTGAGTATGGCAATGGTATCATTGCCATTACCATATTCAACTGAAAACATCTCATCCTTACTTCCCATTCTCACTGTCAATTCCCTAACCAGGCCCTTATCATTTTCTGTTTAGATTACTCCAAAATACCCCAATTTGGCTGACCTGACGCTAGTATCTCCCCACTTCTATATATCATGCCCAATGTATCTTTCTTAAATGTGGCTTATTTTCATACTTTATTCCTTTGTTCTAAAATGTATTTCTAATTCCCAGAGCAGTAAGTCTAAATTGCCTGTCATTCGAGTTATTCTCCAACATTATATATTCCAATCCTCTCTTCAATATACCTCTTACATAAGACAGTCTGAATGTTTCACTCTTCCCAGACTCCATGCACATTGCTACCACTCCAGCTTTCCACATGTACCCTTCATGTGAATTATATATGGTTATTCATTTTCTGCCCAGATCTCAATTCCTCTTTGAATCCTTACCTATCTAATTTATCGCAACATTTGTAACTCCTTCATCACTTTCACCCATGCCCTAGTCTCTTTTTCAGTATGCTCTGTTAGATATACTCTCCCTTCTTTCAATATGTTTTTGAGTTAACTCTCATATCAGAAATGATCTGAACAACCAGTTACTACAAAGCGTGGAAAGATGTATTTTATTCATTACAAAATCATGACTCAGAGATTTCTAAAACAGACTTAGTAAAGAAGATATTTCCAAGGCAGGGTGACTTTTCTGGTGTCCTTCAAGGTTACTTATTTATTTATTGAAAATCAATGGCTTTCAGAAATAGATATGTTGATCTGTGCTGAGACAACATATCCAAATTCAACTGGAATTGAATTAATGTCAGCAAGGTGCCTTAAAAAGAGAAAGAAGGCATTGGATTGGGAAACAGGAGACTTGTATTCACTTCTAGGCCCAACACTGTCACTAGCTGCATGATCTTGGACAACTCAGTGAATCTGTCAAAATATGTTTTCTGAAGAGTACACCATTAACTAAGGAGCTAAGAAAACAAATTTTCTGAAGTGCACTGCTACAAGAATGTAACAAGTTTGTGAAAGAAGTTGTCAGGCAATACATAGTGAGCTTTGTAATGTCTCACCATCAAATTTCTGTATATAATTGTACTATAGTGATAGCCTATTAAAAATCATGGAACTTCAATTTGTCTTTTAGAAACAAAACAGCTTAAAGAACAAATAAAGATATTCATGTAGATTTCCAAAAACTGGTTATCCATTCATTCAATAAGTATTAATTTAGTGATCAGTATGCTAGGCTTTGGGGATGTGCAGTGAAGACAAATATAATAAATATTATATCTGCCCTCAAAGAGATCACTGTCTAAATTGGGAGACAGACAATTATAATAAAGGGTGATAAGTTCTGCAATGGTGGTAAGCACAAAGGGGGCCTCTGGAGCACAAAGAAGAGGACAAATCTGTTCTAGTCTTTTGAACAGACAGTTGATTAGGCAAGGCTTTTCCTGCAATAAGTGACTGCTAGGCCTATAAAATATCCAGGAATATTATCTTAGTCTTACTGGGCTACTGTAACAAAACACCTTTGACTAGATAACTTATAAACAACAGAAATGTATTTCTTACAGTTGTAAAGGCTGGGAAGTCCAAGATTAAGGTGTTACCAATGTCTGGGGGAGTCGTACTTCCTCATAGACAGTGCCTTCTCGCTGTGTCCTCACGTGATGGAAGTGGCAAGGCAGGTGTTTGGGGCCTCTTTTATAAGAGAACTAATCCCATTCATGAGGGCTCCACGTACATTATTTAATCACCTCCCAAAGGCCCCACCTCCTAATATTATCATATTGGTGGAGAGGTTTCAACATAGGAATTTTGGAGAGACACAAATATTCAGACCATAGCATTTACCAAATAATTTTAAAAAGTTAGAACAAAAATCCCTGAAGGGATTTGCAGATGTTTTGATACTGTGGTATAGTGGTTAAAAGTACAAGCTCTGGAGTGTCAGCCTGAGTTAAAATCCTAGATCTGCAAATTGCAAATTAACTTGGACAAGTTACTTGAGGTCTTTGGACCTTGGTTTCTCATTTTAAAAATCAGTACAATTCATAAATGTATCTCACAGGTTTGTTGTGAGAATTAAATAGGTTAAAACATGTAAAATTCATAGAACAGCACCTGGCAAAGAGTAAACATGTCACCCTGCACACTTGAATGTCAATTCCAGGAGTGCAGGAAATCTAACTGTTGAATTACTAGCCTTTAGTAAGTGGCCCATACCAGGCATGGCTGAATGAATGAATGATCATCAATTTAACTTTTTTTTTTGTCATGGGTATAATCCTAAGAGGTAAGAAGGTTGAATAATCCCAATTGTTTTCATTGTTGCCTTAATATAGGCCCACAGAGTAAAGGAGGGAAAGGAATTAGGCAACCCAGCTATTCTACTTTAAAGTTAGACTTTAAAAAATAAAAGGGCTTCAAATTGAAATCATCTGTTGCCTCTCCTATGGGTTACATTAGAGCAAGAACAATTTCTTAACATTCATAGCTACTATTCATGGGGTGCTTGCTATATGCCAGAGAGGTGAATTGAATTGCCTAAAGTGAGGTAGCTCCCAGGTTGAGGAGCAAAAATCTGAACCCTGATCTGTTTGACCTGAATCTAGTTAGTACAGTGCTTGACACATAGTTAATGTGCAATAAATATTTGTTGAATAAGTGGGTGAATAAATATATCAGCAAGTATATTTTCTTCTGTAGATGAACCTACAGTTTAGCTTTAAGGGTTTTCATGATCTTGATAAGCTCAAGCCAATGTTAAGAGTAAGGAAAAGGTATGAGCCACAAAAGAGAATTTACGTAGGAAAATCTCTTTACTAGAAATTCCAAATGGAAAAAGAGAGCTGGATTTGTTTAGAAGTTACACACACACACATACACAGGCATGCACGCACGCACACACACATACACATATATACGTCATCACAACTGTTTGGAGCACCTTAAACACATACATACACACAGGAGCATGCAGACCCACACCACAACTGTACTTTCTTTAATCTCATGCTTTCTTTTGTCTTCTTAACACATCTGAGAGAGGGTAAATGACAGAGTGTCAGAGTTAGAAAGGACGTTAGCAATTACCTAATCAGATCCTCTCATGTTAATGTAAAAATTGACACTCTAGAGGGGAAGTAAATTGCTAAGGTCACACAAGGAGTCAGAATAAGATTAAGAATCTCAGTTTCCTGACTCACAGTTTGTTTTACTCTGAACTGTCACCATTTACCATCTCAATTTTACAGATGAGGTAACCAAAGCATCCTAAGAATGTTGATGGCCAAGCTCCTGCCACTTGTCCGTTGAAATAGGACTTGAAATCAGATCTCCTTTATTTTAAATATAAAGCTTGCTGTCATCCAAGTGCTTCTGTCTGGATGCCCAGAAGAAAGATCCTTTCCTATTGAATTAAACAGTGGACTGAGGGTAATTTACAGAAAGCTTTGTCCTTGGCTTTAAGAGAAAATGTCCAAGGCTGCTTTATTTTCAGTCCCAGGGAGGCTCCATGAAGGCAGGAATGCTGTCTGTCTTCCTTATTGAATTCACAACACCTAGCACAAAGGAAGGCAGTTAATAAATATTTGTTGTTGAATGCATGCCATGCTAAAGGGAAAGTAGGTTGGGTAATGGTTTCCCAGTGGCAATGGATGGACAATCATTAGGGCTGGAAAAAGTGGGAACAGATGAGGAAAAGAGGTGGGAGGAACCCTTAAACAAAGGAGAAGCTCTTTCTCTTCATCTTATTGAAGCTGCAATCACTGCGCACAGGCTGAGTAGATTGGTAGAAATGTGATTGGCAAACATATTTAAATGAGACCTCCTTAAAATTGTTACTCTCCACCCCACCCCCACGTTCCTTTACATTTTGTTTCAGTCATTACCCAGGGACCGGATACAGAGATTCCTATGGGGAGTTTTAATGGGTCGATTCAATTTCATCTGGATGACGCCACTTAGCCAAGCATTAAGAGCTACAGCTCCGGGAAAGCAAACGCCACCGGGGCGGGGGCGGGGGGGAGAGAAAGAAATTATAACAAGGAGCAATAAATCCCTTCTTTCCCATCCTCTGCTATAACCCATTCACAAGACCTCCAGAAATCATCTACATTCACAAAACAGCCAGCTAGCTAAGCTGAAGACACTGCAACCGCACTCCCTGCCCCCACTGCAGATTATATACCAACACACCGTGAGCCATATAAATAATCACACACTGGCGGTATCTATTGCTCCGTTGAGATACCCTGTGTCTACAACTGCAGTTTCTGCTGCTTCGGTTCATCTGTCAGATTGGAGGAGAGGGAGGCCGAGGTGGAGGCGGAGGCGAAGGCAAAAGAGAAGGAGGGGGAGGAGGTAAAGGAGGAAGAAGGGGAGGAGGGAAAGGGGAGGGCAAGAGGAGGGGAAGGAAAATACTGGAGGAGGAGGGGGAAAAGAAACAGGAGGAGGAGGAGAAGGGGGAGGAGAAAGAGGCGGAGGAGGAGGAGAAAGAAGAGGCGGAGGAGGAGGAGAAAGAGGAGGAGGAGGAGAAAGAGGAGGAGGTGAACAACTTACCCTGCTGAGCTTTCTTTGGGGAATACGTGCATCAAGATTTAGATCTGCCTGTAAAATCTATACAAAGCATATGCCACTACAGGTTTGACTCTCCCCTCCCCCGTTTTTTTGTTTTTGTTTTGTTTTGTTTCGTTTTATTTTCTGTTTTCTCTGCTGTGGCAAAGAACAAGACAGAACTATCTCTGTTTCTGGCTCCACTGTCTGCCAGTGAAGGAGTTTTCATTCAGACTTTCGGAAGAGAGGTGGAGAAACCTAAAGACTGAGGAGAAGAGATCCTTTCAGCCAGATGGGGCATTAGTTCTTCTGCTTTTCTCAGCATGGATAAGCCCTTTCCTCAAGGTAAGCCATAGAAATTAGCTCTTTAAAAACCCAGAATTCTTTCTATGCAATGCACAGATTGCCATTCATTCCAGCCATCCTGTGCTGTCTCTGTGTGTGCGTGTGTGTACGCGCGCTTGCGCGCGCGCGCGCAAGCGCATGGATAAAATAAAATGAAAACCCTTTAAATGATATTTAAATAAACCAGCTCTTGCAGAAAACTATCCATATTAGAAATGTGTAAATCAAAATAGAACTTCAAAATAATATTTTTGTAGGCGAATGTCAATTTAATTTCTAGCCTGTTAACCTTTAAATGCATTTTGGTACTTGCCTAAACCCTTCAAAACGCAGCCTAACCACCCAAGCTGAGGACAGAGAAAGAACCCGTGCTAAGGCCAGTCTGGCTGCCCAGCGGGCATCCTGTCAGCATGGGGCTAGCCTGCTATTGGCTCACAAGTCTGGGCTGTGCATCGTTCAGATTTCATCACATCACCTTGCCCTGGGTAGACATGGCGCAAGCTGACACGGCATAACCCCCCACTTACATTGAGTCAGAGCAGTGATTTAGAAATCTCTGGATCCGTGCCTGGGTACGTGTGCACATGTCGCTGTGTGGCATATGGAAATGTTGTCAAAAGTGAGAACCTGTGAGCACGTCTACTTAGCCAATAGGCATTTGATACGACCTAGGGCAATGGTTTACTGCACACTCACTTCCATGAAGCTAACTAATTATAATTATCATTCACCTCTGCATGCTGCAAACCAAGTGGGATGAACAGAAAACAGACCTTGAACTCTTAAGCAGAAACTCTATTTTGAAATGGAAACTATTGTTGCTTTTCTGGGAATATTAAAACCTCACTGTATCATGATGTGTTATCACATGAATTTGGATATACCAGGTGTTAAATCATGTTTCCAAAAAGTCGACTGCATTCATAAATACAAGTAAGGCACAGGCTAGCACTTTATCCACAATGAAATATTGGTCTTGCTCTCCTTGCCTGTAAACAAACATGTACAAATACATTACTATAACATTCTATATATTTGTCTCTTTGTGTTCTGTTTTTAGGTCTCTCTAGCTGTGAAACAGTCTAGATAGTGATCTGAGTGACTTAGATTTGAAGATATTTTTTAAGAGTTGAGGAGTTGAGTAGTGAGGAAGTAAAGAACCAAAAGGAAAGGAGACTAATTCTTCCTTAAAGACTATTGAAACAGAGAAATGCAACCAACACACCCAACTTAAAATTTAGAGCATCTGGACAAGAAAGGCCTTTAAAAACCCTCCTTTTATTTTGCAGATGAAGAAACAGGACCAGAACGGAGATCATTTGCCTACAGCCACACAGCAAAGTAGAGCTAGCATTAGGACTAGAACTTAAATTTCTTGTGTCATGTAAAAGGATTTGAGTTTTTTAAAAAAAATTCCTACTTCTTAAATGAACAACCAGCTTCTTCTTAGACTTTTCCTCAGGATTAGAAGTATGTGAATTCATTTGGTATTACAACTTTTCCCTGTATCATTCATCACTAAAAGACCTATATCTTTTAAAATTCAAGGTCTTAAAACTGCAAGACTCCCTGGTTTGAAATAAACTGCTATGAGTCTTAATGAAACCATTAAAGTAATGAATAGGACTAGGGTAGCAAAGTGACAAGTTAAGAGTTAAATGTGGTGAGAACCTGGCAGCTCCAACAAGATGTATGCGGTAGGAGGGAGGCCCAGTCAGTGGCAGAGAGGTTAGTAATGTAAACTATATACAACTTGGTATTTGTAAGGGGGGAGTGCTTTGATAGAGATGCAAATGCTTTTGCACAGAGAGGGATTTTTAGAGAGCAGACTTTGGAACAGTAGAACTAAGAAAACATATAAAGCCAAAGCAGAAATTCCCCCTATGTTTGCTTTCAGTTATTCTGAGAAGGAGTGTATATAACAGCAGAGCATAGAAAAAAGCAACACACCTAAGAGCCGTTACACAGTAAGGTACAAAACAGCATTGAACCCACGGGAGTGGGAGAAAACAAGAGCCAGGATCTCCTCTTCCCCACTCTTCTTTGAAATCAACATTGAGTCATACTGTATCAGAAAGGATTTACCATAGAAATCAGAACTGTCTTAAGGTGTTAGCATAGAAGGGCTTTCGATAGGAAAGTTTTCAACTTTATTCTCAACATGGCAGATTTTAGGTTCCAGGGAGAAAATACATTTTCTTTCATTAACAAACATTAGCATTTCTTGAATGGGCTTAGCTTTCTAGTCCCTAAATTGGCATAAGAAAAGAAAATTTTTTTAGGTTGAACATGGCAAATTCAGGGCTACAGAAAAACTGTTTAGAAAGCTATGAGCACCTGGCCAGAGAGACTGTGATGGGAGTGGGTTTACAATGCATCATTCATTACTGCAGAGGCACTACGTGACAAAAATCACTAGATCCCATCAATGTGCAGCCAAGACCTGTAATCACCTTTGCTCTTATTTAATAATATGTGATGTGTACATTCTCTCTCTCTCTCTCTCATTCGATAGAATATGGAATTGGCCAACTGCACAGTCAGTTTCTTAACTGTTGCTACTCACAATGAATGGCTCTTTAGTGGGTGGATTTCTGAATCATAAACATTCATGTAGTGGTAGTTTTTCATCTAGCCTATGTGCTACAGCAGTGTCTTGCCTGTTCCTTTCTCAACATATTTTTCTCTCTTACCTTCCTGTACAGTATCTATTTCAGTTCATCCTGTTAGCCAGATCAGATTCAGCACATCCTGAATGGCAACCAATTTATTGTCATTCAATCCTTAAATCCTACTCAACACTCTGATTTTATTCAGGTCCTACTGTCCACTTATTGCAGGTCTCCCACAGTAGATCCCAGAGTCCATTTGAATAAAAGATTCTACAGAGCAGGAAGAAACCTTCTAAGTTCATCCTGTCAGTCCCCTTACTTGTAGGCAAGACAGTACATCATTATTTCAGACTGATGCCCACAGCTTCCTTTAATCATCCAACCAAGCATCTCAATTTATCAGTCTTGCAGAAATATAATCAATATTGAAATACAACTTTTCAACCTAAACACCATGTACCCTTCTGCTCCCCTTTGAACATAATTCTCATTATTGTTTCAGAGTCATTTATATTATGACCTAGATTCCTCACAGATTAACTTTCAACCTTTTGGGCATGTCCCTGAGGTACCTAGTGACATCCCTAGAATCCTGTCTTTGGAATCTCACCTGTTTATCTCCTGTAACTTTAAGACCTTGTATACCTTCCTTTAAATTATTGCTTCCTGGAATTTTCAATATGTTTTGAATCTAGTTTCTTTTGGGAAATCAATTAGTCTAAACCGCATTCAGCATGTATATTATTGTTCTTATAGTACAAAGGATTTGCAGGGCTCTACATATTCTTTAGCTGATCAATGGGACATAAATATATTTCTCATAAATTTGTCAAAAGACTCTTCCCAGTCCCAAGTTCCTACATCTACATACCCTCCAAGCCATACCCTCCAAGCTTTTTTATTTGGGTGTCTACATGAAAGCTGCCAGTTCCTTTCCAATGCTGAGACTATGAATCTATAAAGATACAGCAAAGGTAGAGGTGGCAGGTTGCATGAGCCTTTGAGTGCAAGTAAATAAAGGAAACATACATTTTGCTTTTGAATACCCAAATAAATAAGGGCACATTGCCCACCTTACCCTCAAGGACTTGAAGATATAGAAGATATGAATGAAAAGAAATAGTTTAGAAAATTATATAGTTATAGAAAGAAATACAGACCATAATGGCTCAAGGTCCTTCAAGATCACCTTGTTCACTTCACATATCCTTCAGTTTCACATAGATAGTGAAACTGAGGTCCAAAGAAAGCAAGTGATTTGACAAAAGTGACATAAATATTTGAGTCTGAGAGTTTCCATAATATTTATTTGCATTCTGTTATGATGCATTTATTTAACACCAAAACAACTAGTTAAAGCGTGAAATTTTTGTCAGACTGGTTCTTTGATGTGATATGCCAAAAAAGGTTATTTTTAACCAAATTAAATCTTTTCAAATAATGAACAGATGTAAATTCAGCTAATCAGGTTTGCATGAGGATATAGCCTCAAAAGTCAACTGAGTCTGGTTATATTATTAGCCACTGAGTCGTTTTTGCTGTTACTGAGCTTTGGGCCCATTTCAGTGTCATGTTTGCTTGCTTATGGAAACCTAATCAAGCACCATCCTCTCTCACTTGTTCATTTCTATTACTCATTCAAGCTATCCATCACATACAGTAGTGTGAGTAATTGATCTATTTTGAGGAGGCCTGAAATCTGATGGGTCTCAAATATATACTTTATTCATGCTAGTGTTTTGCTAGGTCCTAATGCCTCCAGGATGTTTCCTGGATTTGTGTTTAGGTTTCCTCATTTACATCTCTTTGGCTCTTCAGTCTTCTAAGTGGTGTGATACAGCAGTCTACTATTTGTACAATATTTTCCCCATGGTCATCATCATCAGTTCTAGGGGTGGTAAAATCCTTCAGGGAATGACCAACCACCTCTTCCTGACTATGGTACAAAGGAAATACAAGCATATACTTTCTAGATACTCAACTTAGCTTAAAGATGGTATAAGAATGCCACTGTCCTTTAAGAAAGTCAGTTTATTGTGTAAGGTAGTGATACAGAAAAGAAGTCCAAGCAGATTCTGCTTGGTAAATCCCATCAATATGGAGTTGACTTAGGATAGTAATAGGTATAATTACAGATGATTTTTGAAATAATTCAGGACTTGTCTTCTATAGTTCCTTGATCCCCAGTATTAATCCCATGTGTACGAAAGCTTGATTCTAGAGCCTCCATTCTATTTAAAAAGAATCACTTCCTTAGTAAGTTAAAGCAGCCAGTAAGGTGAGGAGAACTGCAAGATGATTAGTCTTGGCTTCCTTATACTCTTGGGAAGCCTTTTTTTTTTTCTCCTACACTGCAGACAGCTTAATTCCTACCCTCTGTGTGTTTGCTGTATCTCTGCCTTTATTGCATTCTCCTTGCTTGCCTGTATTCACTGAATAAAGTAATGTCCTTTCTTATCTGTGTATTACTGCTTATCATAAATTCACACTGAAAAGATAATTTTGATTGGTTTTATATATATATATATATATATATATATATATATATATATATATATATATATATATATATGAGAGAGCAACTTCTCATGGGAGACTTTTGAGGCTTTCTCTTTTCCTGCAGCATTGCTTCAGAAAATAGCCTTTGCATGTAATACTAGGTTCCATTTGTATTAAAATTCTGATACCCAAGGCTTGGATGTCTCTGCTAGCAAATACCTGAATGAGCTAACTGCTCCTATGAAACTAGGCATTTGATGGAATACAAAAAGAATCAACTACCTGATCTTTGTTCCCAAACTTCTTTATAGTCTGGATGGGATGATCAGATTGGCCTATAAAGAAGTAAGTGAGGTTAATTACAGAATAAATGTGTAGCATGAAGATTACTATAAAGCAATTGAAGGTAGCGGTGGTGATAGGGCCTGAGCTTTGTTGGTTTCTTGCAAAGTACTTATGCCTGTGTGTTCTCATTTACTGTTTTTATGCCTTCTCTCCTAGGATTTTCTCATGTGCCCTGAGATCCATGTAACTACAAGGGCTCCTCTTTATCACCATAAGTGCCACCCTGGCTTAAAACCACTCAGAGCTTAAAAATCAAGGCAAAATGGATGCTGCGGTGACAGATGATTTTCAACAAATTCTGCCTATTGAACAGCTGCGCTCTACTCATGCTAGCAATGACTATGTGGAACGGCCTCCAGCCCCCTGTAAACAGGCCCTCTCAAGCCCTTCCCTTATTGTGCAAACCCACAAGTCTGATTGGTCTCTGGTTACCATGCCTACTTCTCTCCCCCGTAGTCTCAGCCAGTGCCATCAACTGCAGCCCTTGCCTCAGCATCTGAGCCAATCTAGCATTGCCAGCTCAATGTCTCATAGCACCACTGCCTCTGATCAAAGGCTCTTGGCCAGCATTACACCCTCACCTTCAGGCCAATCCATCATCCGAACCCAGCCTGGAGCAGGGGTCCACCCAAAGGCTGATGGTGCTCTGAAGGGAGAAGCTGAGCAATCTGCAGGGCACCCTAGTGAGCACCTCTTCATCTGTGAGGAGTGTGGGCGCTGCAAGTGTGTCCCCTGCACAGCAGCTCGCCCTCTCCCCTCCTGCTGGCTGTGCAACCAGCGTTGCCTTTGCTCTGCTGAGAGCCTCCTCGATTATGGCACTTGTCTCTGCTGTGTCAAGGGCCTCTTCTACCACTGCTCCACTGATGATGAAGACAACTGTGCTGATGAGCCCTGCTCTTGTGGGCCTAGTTCTTGCTTCGTCCGCTGGGCAGCCATGAGCCTCATCTCCCTCTTCCTACCCTGCCTGTGCTGCTACCTGCCTACCCGTGGATGCCTCCATCTGTGCCAACGGGGCTACGATAGCCTCCGGCGACCAGGCTGCCGCTGCAAGAGGCACACCAACACTGTGTGCAGAAAGATCTCTTCTGGTAGTGCACCCTTCCCCAAGGCCCAGGAAAAGTCTGTATGACCTTCCAGCAAGGTGGATCCAGAGCTTTTCTCCTTCTAGCCCCCATCAGTAATGCATAGGCCTCATCTTTGGAGAGGGAAGGAGTGACAAACTAGCCAAAGTTAGGGCCTCTCCTCTTTTGTTCCGGCAGTGTCAGGGAAATGACCAAGTACATCCTGGTGCAGGATGCCTTGTTCTTTCTCACAGTATCTATCCCACTCCTCTTCAGTCTTTACACCCTGCCAGCTCAGCCCTTATGGTTGTCATGGCAAATTCAGGTGATATATGGGTATGAGGTTTGAACACTGAGGACTGACAGGGCCAGCAACGTGGAGGTTTAGGGGCTCCCCAGTGTAATACCTCTCGATGCAGGCTCTGATCATCACTGTTTTCTGCTGTGCCTTTGGAAGCTTTCTTCTAAGATGATTTTCACAGGTACATGTGGAACAGCGTTCAACCTTCCAGGGAATATGACCCCTTCTCCCTGTTACTGCCCTTCTTTATTCCTCTCTCCTCTTTCATTATTCTGTTCTGTATTCTTTTCACCTTCATTCTCACCCTGTCTACTTTTACTTTTTCTCTTTCTTCCTCCCTTTCTCCTTCTCCCTTCCTTCTTTTTCAGACTGATCCTTTCTCTGCCTGTTTTTCTATCTCATTTGATCTGTATTTGTCTCTCTCTACCTTCCCTCTTTCTCTAACATGTCCAAAAGTGCTGTTTTTCCATAGATGTTTCCTTAGACGCCAAACTTTGCTCTGCTATAGTATTTACTAATTTTTATTAAGGGAAATGGATTACTGTAATGAACTGATCACTAGCAATAGTCTGTATCCCGATGTGTGTGTGTGCTCACAATCACTCTCACCTGTTTGTGAGCACATGCGGCAAAGTTATCTTATATTTCCAGGTTTAACTAGTTGGAGTTTTTCTCCCTTTCTCAATAATCAACTTATAGTACTGACAGATTCCACTAGCATGCTGAGTAGGACAGTAAATCAGGATGCTCATAACTTTGTATGTCTGACCCAAGTGCCAAAGGCAGACGTGCTTTATAGCTAAATGAACAAAGCAAAGGATACAGAGGTATGTTCTCTCTTAGAAGCTAACTTCCCTGAGACTGCATGGCTCAGGCGTTAATAATGGACATAAAAAGTCATAAAATGTTAGAGCTGGAAGGAATCTTAACTATTAATCTAGTTCAATGCCCATATTTTACAGATGGGAAAACTGAGGCCTGGAGATAGGAAGGGACTTGCCCAAGGCCACACACTGAGTTAACAGCAGAATTGGGACTGGAATATAGGCCATCTGACTCCTAGTTCGGTATTCTTACCCCTGTACCACATTGAGTCATGGGACTTTTTCCTAGGGCTCTATTAACAGTGACAGAAAGCCATTCCCATTCAATTACTTTTCAGAAACCATGCCAAGTTAGTGTGGTGGTCTTTCTCCAGTGCATGGTGGGTAGCTAATTAACTATGAGATGTTGAGGCTGCCCCCAGTGGACATCACCTTTGGCTCTGTCACCTTGTAGAAGCTCAAGTGTGGAAAAGAAAAGCTTAAAGAAGCCCTAACCAAGCTGTATCTTCGCCATTGCATCTACTCTTTGCTGCACACACTGTGCTTGCTCCTGGCTTGTCTGCAATGGCAGCTGCCTGAGAACTTAAATTTCAGCAACAGTGAAAAACTGAGATGAAAGATGTATAATTCAGAGAACTGACTTCTCTCTTAAAAAATACAGAGAGCCTGTGCTGTGAACCCCCTTCAATGGGAAAAAGCTGCAGTGGTGATGGCAGGCTCCTAAAGACTGCTGCTTAAAGACACAAGAATTATACAGTTTCCCTCTATAAGTGAATCCAGAATTCACTGAGGAATTCAGAGATTGAGGGCACTTGCTTGAAATCAAGGTGCTCCAACTTAGTTTAAGACCTCCAGACTCTAACTTTATAGATCATCTCTTTTAGAGTGTGCATGGATGTGTGTTGCAGGGTGGAGAAGTGGGGACAAGTGTATAGTCGTACACAGGGGAAGAGGAGACATCCATGTCCCTTTGTTGGATACATATTACGGAAATATGTGCCACTCAGTTTTTGTTGGTTCTGAATCTTCCTGAAGTGTACTGACATTTGGGCTACACAGAGCCCCACACCTTCACTTACACCTCCTCTTCTAGAATTGCTTTGCTCTATTTTTGTATATATAAATATGTTATGATGATTATTAATAATGTTAATGATATTGCTGCAAATGGTGCCATATATAAGGTTAGGCTTCTTGGAACATTTATAAACCCAAACCAATACCTGTAACCTCTTATGTTGCTTTCAGATCTTCAATTTTAAGTAACTTTTTAATCTTACAAGTCTGCTTGATTGTACTTTACACTTATCTACCCCTAAAAGCTCTGCCCAGTTCTCTGGGTCAAGCTGGATGGTGATGAGTAGCAACCACACTTCTCTGCTTCTGCCTGAAATGTGCTTAGAGCTCAGTTATCTAAGGATTCTCTGACACTAGTGCATTGTTCCTGGAGCTAAAGTTATTCTATGGATGTTTGCTTATTCGTTTCAGGCCCCAAAATAACATGAGCCCCTCCTCCTTGATAGCTCCTTGATATCCCAATCTTGCAGTCCTAACTCAGGCAAATTGTGCACTGCCAGAGGGGCCCTGGGTTCTGCCATATACCCAGAGGAGCCTTTCTCAGTGTGTTTCTAAATGGCCTTACACTTGGTAGAAGAAATTGAAGGGTTACTCAAATACAGTTGCAATCTGCAATCTGCTGTTGAGTCAGGGCTTTCACTTGTGTCCAAGTTGGCCTGATATGGACTGCATCTGGTTTACATATAGATGGGTCCTGTTGGGGTATGCGCATGGACGTGTGAGTGAGTGTGCATATGTATCCCTTCTGTGATTTTATATATATATATATATATATGTAAATATATATTCACACATCTCTATATATTTTAATGTATTGCACATGTATATTTAAAATATATACGAAAGAACTCTAAATCCTGCAGGGAGGCTCTGTTTTCATTATTTTTCTACTTTGTGTCATGTCCTATATAAACAGGAATATTTAGAGGGTGTTTCCTGCTTAGCATTTTTTTGCAGTTAAATCATCTGTTAGTCCCTAACTCTATTGCTTTCCACGTATTGGTTCCTTGATACATTTCATATGGCATCAGCCAAGAGTTTTCCTGTGGTTCCAGCCCATCTTCCCTAATCACAATTACAATAATAAATATAGTGAACACTTACATAGTGTTTACTATATGCTAAGCGCTATTTTTAGCATATTATTTATATTAGCTCATTCATTCCTCACAATTCTACAACATAGGTATAATTCCAATTCTATTTTACAGATGAGAAAACTGAAGCACAGAGAGGTTAAGTGACTTGCCAAAGGTGACAATTGTAAACGGTAGAGCTAAGATTTGAACATAGGGCGTCTGACTCCCAGGTCCGTGCTCCAGAATCAGATATAGAAGGCTGGAGCACAATGTAAACCATTCTGGAGTAACAAGCCTCAAGTGGTGAATAATTCTTTACCTAACTCTGGTCCACCTGCAACCTAGGAGTTAAAATAAGTATGCTGCTATGTTAAGGGTAAAGCAACAGTTACAGGCATTAGGTATTAGCTGTCTTGCTCCCAAAATGGTGGCATTACAAATTTTTCCAGTATTCACTTTGAAAACATGCTTGCAGCCAGTTACCATTTCTTAGCTTATGACGTAGAGCTATTAAGGGAGTAGTTTCACTTGTGCCAAAGAGGGTAAGAGTTTATTAGTCTTATCTTTATTGGCCAGGGAAAACTAATTCAATTTTTTTCTGAACAAAGTAGAACTGAGACTGTTTTTGGAGCTTAAGATTTGCTACAGCTGTTAACACTCAAACTTATTGATTATATTGAGAGCAGTCTTCTGAGTCAAATGACCACTGATCCATATAACACCTTTTACCGACAGCTCCTTCACACTGAATCCTTTAACTTTGCCAAAGGACCTTTAAATAACATCTAGTCCAATGTCAACATTTTATAGGTGGAGAAAGGGATGCACAGAGAGGGAAAATAACCTGTCCAAAGTCACACAGTTCTGAAAATTGAGTGGAATTATGACTTTATGCCAGAGTTCCTAATTTCCAGGTATCTTAGCCTCGGTTTCTTAGAAAATAGAATTTGAAGCAAAAGCTATGTACAATCCAGGGTAGTATGAGTAAGGAAAGGGCTAATAAGGGAGAGAAGAAAGAAGAACAAATAAAAAGTATGTCACTGAGTTGGCCACAATCTGTTCCTTGGCAAGCTAATTTCACAATTTTCTATGACAGACCATGTGAAACTACTACATCTCCATACAGCCCACCTGGCGGAGGAAAGGAGGTGAATTCATCTGCTAGCTCTCATCTCATTAGTCAAATTCTTCCCCATGTGATATTAACCCTTCTACACTTTTGGGTAGTGCGTGGTGGCACTTAAGTATGTACCTTGGCATTTCATGCTTCAGCAGTAATGGGAAGGATTGTAGCTCCACTACAAACAGTAAGGCAAGTATATGAATATAGGGAGATTAAATTTAAAGTGATAAACTAGGGTGGTGCTTTTACCTTATGTCTTTAATCACATTCCTTCAAAGTAAGTTAGAGATAACCTACCACCTTTAAAGTAAATAAGGCTTTATTGTGGCTCTTAGAACTGCACTATGTTTGCCTTCCTGACCCTGTTTATTCCCTAGCTTGCTTTAAAGGGCTTCTTTTTTATATGGAAATTAATTCCCTGTTCAATTAAAGGAGTAACAAACTCTCAAAATATCTTTCTTCTTAATATAAAAAGGAATTTCATATTATTGAACTCCTCAAAAAGCATGTCTAAGTGAAAATATGTATGTGAATGCACATATGTTCTTTTAGGTTCCATGAGCATAATAGCAGGAAAACTGGTCAAGTCAATAAATGCTGGGGAAAAAAATGGCTAAACAAGGTATTCTGTAACATGAAAATAAAGCAATGAGTTGGTTGACTGGCTTTTTAAAAAATATTTCAGCCACTAATTATGACATGACACAGACACATTCTAAGAATTATACTAGCTTTTATTCACATATATAATAGTTCCCTGTGTCCTATAGATCATTGTCACATAAAGCAAAAGCATTAGTGCCCCATTTGGACCTTTGGCTTAAGGTTTGATAAGATTTTGTAGAACTGACATTCTTGGTCCCTTTATCCTAGTTTAGGCCCATATCCTCATTTTGACCCTCAAAGATAAGATCATAACACTACCAGTGTTGTTGCTATTAAAGGCCAGGATGGACAAGATAAGGAAAGGCATTTTGGGAATGACACTGACTATTGCTAGGAATCTTGCTGTCATTACAATCCAAGTTATATATGTTTGCTCCCATATGTATTTGTTGGCCCATCTCCTGAAAAAGAAGACAGTAATTCTAACTCACACATTGTCATTCCCAAACTAACCTTTTGACCATTCCAGGTAATAGTCATGTCTCTGATGGTAAAAGACAGAGATGTCAAGGCTTTGGAAGCTCCCAGGTCCTTGAAGAACTAACTAAACTGCTGAAAACAGAAGTGGTAATGTAGGCAAATAC